CTCTTCCTCCCCGCTCCTCCTCCTCGTCCTGCCCCCGGCGAGCCCTGGGCCGGCGCTGGGCTCTGATGGCAGCGTCGAGATGTTCGTGTCCAGAGTGGTGGATTTCCAGCAGACCCGCTACGCCAGGTAAAGCCCCTCGCTTGGCGCGTCCCATCCCTTCAGGTTGCTCCGTGTTCAGTGCTCCGGGACAGTCCCCAGCGCTACCTGGGGCCCTTGCAAAGATGCTGAGCTGCTCAGAGCCCAGGGCAGGTGCGGGCTGCTCCCTTCACCCTCAGGCGCTTGCACAGTCTGTCTTGGGGGATAAAGCAACCTGCCTTTCTGCATCCGTAAGGGATTCAGCCTGGCTGTGTCTCTGCGAGCTCTCACTCTCTGTAGGGAGCACAAGCCAAGAGTGACCAGGGATGAGGGTGCTCTGTTATTTAGGTGCTGTTTGGATATGCTGACCCCCAAAGCCTCCATTCAAATGAAAGTATTTGACTCGAGTAGCTCTATGAAACGGGCACTGTGTTTAAGGATAGGTCCTGGACTTGTCTCCTGGTACATTCTGGGAGGAACTTCAACTGGGTCCTGACAGGGGTCAGCAAGAGCAAACCCTCTCCATAGGGGAGAGGCATTTCCCTATCAGTCCCAGTGCTGAACCTGAAGTTCATCTGGGTCAAGATGTGAGATGTTTCAACCCATGCGCTCTGTGCGCACACACAGAGACAGGACCCTGGTGGCATTCAGGACCTACCCATAGACAGGGGCTTACAGAGGGCAGACCCAGCTGCCAACATCTGCAGACCCACCAGTTCATGAGCACCATCTGGTGCTTCCCACGTAGACTGGGACAGTTTCCACCAGAGGAGCAGGACACATCTTAATGGCTCAGACTGCTAGGGCAGCACTATCTACTTACAAGGAAACCTGAGCAAGGCTCAGGCCAGGTCAAGGAGCCTGTTCAGCTCCACCAGGGCTCAGGTGCAGGTGGCATTGGTGAGCTGGTGCCACCAACAGGGCCAGGAGCTGCCCCACATACCTTGGTGAAGGGTGAGTGTGAAAGCAGAGTCCTTGGCATAGGCTATAGCCAAGGGATGCTGCAGGGAAGGGACACGGGTCTGTTTAAGAGAGCTCATAGCAGTTTTGCACCTATGTCGGGTTTTGCTGACAGATCTAGAGACTGTGGCAATGAGCAAGCCTGGCATTTTGCTGCTTTCCAAGATCCTTGCAGTATTTGCTCAGAAGGGTTCAGCCTCTGTCATGTCCCCTCCAGTGACAGCAGTGGGGAGGTTTTTGTCACTGCAGAGAGGCTCAGCTAGCTCGTGCTCTGCCAGGTGGCACTCAGATCTCCCCTTTGGTGGAGGTCAGACTCGAAGCAGTCCCCGCAGCTGGGGTTAGAGGCAAAGATACAGGTCTGGAGAGGACTGAGAGTGTTAACGGTGCTTCTTCTCTTGCCCTGGGCAGGAGCATCCTTGGGACACATTTACCTGGGGTGGCTTAAGAGCAGCATTGCTGGTGACCTCCTTCTTGTGCTCAACACACCTACTCCCTTGCTTCCAGGTATTCCATGGAGAAAATCCTTGCTTGCACCTCCAGAGGCTATCTGAAAGCAGGGTGTTCCTGCTCAATAACCAGTGTTACGCTGTAGCATTCTCCAAATTACCTGTACCTGGGGGAGACAAGTTAATAAGCATCACGTACAACTGCTGCATAACACAAGTTCATGAAAACACAGAAAACGCAACACTTTCCTCTCAGCTGTTGTGCACAGGACAGGGCCAGGGAGAGGTGAGAGCAGAATGAAGCTTTGATGCCCAAAACAGGGGGAAAACTGTCCATTCCCTTTTCAGCAGCAGCACAAAGGTGCTTTGGGAGCTTGGTGGCAGAGCAGAAGTTACCTCCCATGTCAGTGCTCCCCTGGCAAAACCCCTCCATGAGCCACATCTTTCAATTTCTACCCAAAGCCGCAGAGCTTTGCATTGTGGAGCACACAAAGGATGCTGTGATCTTGACACTTTCCACCTCTCCCTGGATGAGAACAGTTGAAGATACGAGAATCAGACCACTGGGTGCAACCTTGGATGACTCCAGGAAGCTTTTGGAAGGCTGCAGACAAAGCAGGAGAGGAAGGAAATTTGCCTCTTTTCCAAAATGGGGACCCTCTGTGCTGTTTTTCTCTTCTTTACAGCATGGTTCTGAGCCATCTTCCCTGCTGTGAGATGGGGAAAACCAGACAGAGGAGAATAGCTGGGTGATATGAGAACTGAAGACAAACAGCCACAGGGACACCTAGCATAGAGGGGACAGGGGTGCCACCATGAGGTCCCCGGCCAGCCAATGCCTTGTCAGCACGTGACACTAACCCAGAGCTTCTCCACTGCCCAAGAGATCCTCTTAGCTTATTGCTCAAAAATAGCTCTCAGCTAATCCTGCTTCTTCCTGGGGCTTCCCGCACAGGCTTTCCTCCCTGCAGGGAGCTCCCATGCCCAGGATGAGCTGGGGGACATCGCGCCCACCCTCGCCCAGGCACACGTTGCCACAGGCTCTTCAGACAGCTACAGAAATAGCTAGGCTTTGCAGGAAGGCAGTCAAAGCACCTTGCTGCATCTTTTTGGAGGAGGATGGTGCTTGTAGCCCTCCTCAGTTCTGCAAAATAAGAGAAAATAACGGATAGTTTTTTCTTGCAGTAGAAAAAAAAAACAGGAAGAACTCCATTTTTAATGTCATTTTCTCTGACTTCAAATGAGGACCAAGAAAGGTGGAGTTTAGCCATCAATAGGCACACCAAAAGGAATAAATAAAACGCAGCAGCATGATGAAAGACCTGTTGGGCAAAAGCTGCAATGAAGGCACCAAGCTTTGAAAGAAGAGATAAAAGGGCAGTAATCAATGCAGGAGCATTTTGTGGGCTGCCAGGAGAAAACTCGGGGTTGAAGGGGCATGAGGATGTCCCTGGATGCCTCCCAGCTTGGCTTTGTAGTTTGGAGATGCGGCGTCATCGCTGGGGTGGACGGGAAGGAACTGGAGGGGACATGTCACCATAGCAAGTGGGAAATACTGATGCACCGTGATGCGTTTGAGGGGTTCAGGGTGGTGGGAGCAAGCAGTGGTGGATCTGGCATCCCCTTCTTTGGAGCCTCTGCTCTTCTGCCAGCAACTGCTCCATAGGCAAAGGGAGTTAAAAAGCTTCTCTTGCTTCATCTGGCCACCTCCGTTAGTTCTTCCTCATTAAGCCTTTGCCCCCGCCCTCATCCCCTTCCTTACTCACTATAAAAGCGGTGCTCATTTCCACATTCCCTCATTAACAGAGTGGTGCCAGTTGTGCATCTCCATCACAGGAGCTCATCAGCTAAGTTACACCAGCCTGGTAACCGATAGCTCCTTCCACGTCACTGCTGCCTCCAGCACCGCTTTGGCTCCTTGTTACTCAGGATTCAGGAGGGGTCCGCTGCCTCCTGCCCGCATCGCTGGCATCCAGCTGCTGCTTATCCCAAATCCCCCTGTGGGCACATGAAGGGTTTCCTGGACTTTAGTCATCAAGAACTGTAATTGAGGGAAAACATGATTAGACAGGGAGCTGGTGTCTCTGGCCAGCTTCACCAGCCTCAGCAGTGGAGAGGGGTCTGCCAGGAGCCGTGGGCTGTGCAGGGCACTGAATCATTGCAATTAACTGATAGATTCAAGATTTGATTTATGCAAGTAAAGAGCTCTAAATCTTACTGCATGTGCCTGTCTTGCCCTGCACAGAATAGCAAGGAAAAGATGAGCAGCCAAGAAAGCTGTCATGAATTTCCCAGCCAGGATGGGGGTTAGAGAGCCAAGACCTTCACAGGTGCATGGAGCCAGGTCTGGCTCTCCCGCCTTTAGGAGCTGGCTTGTCCTTGCCAGCCCAGTGCCTGCACCACCTCCTCCCCAGTGTGAGCTGATGGAAATTCAAACATCGTGTTTCCTCCAAGGCAGATCTTCTGATTCTGGGGAAGGACAGTGGGAAGACCTCCCAGCACACCTAGTTATGGAGCAGGCAGAGGCTCTGGCCTCTCCTGCTCGGAGAGGCTGAGGGAGGAAAGGAGAATCAGCATGTCCAAGAGCCCACAGGGACAGCAGGAACAGATGGGAGAGAAAGCATTGGAATACCCAGATCCCAAACAAGAAAAACAAAGCAGCAGCAGGGTGACAGCCCCATTCTAGCTCCTGCTCTCTAGTTACTGGATTGGGAAGACTTGCTCCCTGATTGCTCTGCAAAGAAAGCATGATCAGCCCTCACCAGCTCCCACATGTTTCGAGATGCTTTCCAAGAGCTCTCCTTCCCCCACAGCCTGAGTAGGATGAAACAGTGAGAAGGGAAATGCTCTAAGCGCTGAGACTGTGGCCCAGAGCCACTAGAAATACAGTTCTTTGTGAATCCTTTTCAAGGAGGTCCAGCTGCCCTATCCCTCTGGGACAATGAGGACCCTTGGTGTCCCTGCAGGCAGCATAGCCCAGTGCTGCCCAGGACCAGCCTCTGGGAAAACTCCGACGGACAGGAGGCCACAAAAGGCCCCTAAAAACATCCAATAAAAATCTGAGAGATCATTTGATCTCACCAAATGATTGGATATTGCCTAATCTGTGATGCTAATTTGACTCCATTGTCCTTTCAATACAACATGGATAGATCTCATCTCATGCAGTCTAGATGCCCAACATGCAGTCATCCTTGCAGCCAGGTAGCTGGCAGCAAGCAAGCACTCAGAACAGAACTTGCATAGCCCACTGGAGAGGAGACATTTCCTTAAACTGCCCATATATCCTCGTTGGGAGACCCAGAGGGGACAAGGCATGGGGTCTCAAGTGGAGGCCATCCATGGAAGCGCACAGCAGTGGCTATAGCAAGCCCTGAGCCTTGCTCCCAGGGCTGCCTCCTCCTTGGCAGGAAAACATATGCACAATGGTCTTTTCCCTCTTGCCACTGGTATTGGATATCAGCCTGATGTGATTTTTTGGCACAGCTCACTATGGCCTCTGTGAGACAGCAGCCAATGCGATGCCTGGGAAATCCAAACCAGCAGGCAGCGCCTGCAAGAAGCTGGGCACTGCCAGAGCCCGTCTGCAAGGGCCTGGCACGACTGCAGCTCCTGGATCGCCTTCCCTCAGTCAGCTCTTTCCAC